AGCAGTGGAGGGGGGACTGAGCAGTGGAGGGGGACTAAGCAGGTTCTGAGCAGTGCCTGGGCAGCCTTGGAGTCTTGCAGAGAGCTGCAGGGCCGCCCTCTCCTCCACTGCTGAGCGCTGAGCCGGGTTCCACAGGGGACTCCTCCAAGGCACCAAGGCTCTGCCCCACCTCCAACCCTCCCCTTCTCCTCTTTTGCCTTCACCAGCAGTCTCTCCCCTGTGTGTTTCCTGCACTTGGAATGCTGCCTTGGGGTCTGCTCCCTGGAGGACCCTAGCCTGCATAGCCCCTGGCCCGGCCTCCCTGATGCCCCTTGTGTGGCTGTGGGACTCTCTTTTTGAGAGTCCCTGCGGCTCCCGCTCCTGAAGCTGCAGGTTCTCTGTCACCTGGAGAATCCCTTGCCAGGGCTCAGCCTGCCCACCGAGCCTGACGGGTGCTGGTCTGACAGCCTTGCCCATGGGGCTCCCACCCTCACCTCCAGCCAGACGCAGTGTTTCCTGGCATCTGGGCCTGGTGTTGCCCGCCGCCCTGGCCAGGCCACTTCCTGGGCTTGACAACCTTTCCAGTGCCACTGGCCATGTGGGACCACAGGGGAAACCCAGACACCACGACCTCCTGGTGGGAGATGGTCTGATCCCTTATCTTCCCAGCACCGGGCTCACCTTGGAATTTCCCATAGTGCTTTCGACATGCCCAAGTATGAGGCCCGATCCCATTGCTGAATGCGGTTTCCAGCGCCCCGTGGACAGGCCTGCCTGACATTCGTCCTGTTTTCTCTGCAGCCCTCAGTGGCACGCAGCACAAAACCACACAGTGAACGCATGTCCATTCTGGAGTCCGTCTCACATTGTGTTTCGTGGCCTCAGATACATAATTTTCAAGAATAGTCATGTTATAAACGTAGCCGTGATCAATATCACACTTCAAAAGGTTGGTGTTTTCATTTTGCAGCATGGAAGGTATACAGCAAGTCTCTGCCACGCTCTCCTGCCTGCGAGGGGAGCTGCACTAACCACGACTAGGCCAGACCTGGGGAAGGGGACTGGGAGGAGCTGACAACAGAGCGGGGTGTGTGTGTGTGTCTGCACATGTCTATCCGTGTGTCTGCGTGTGTCTGTGTGTGTCTATGTGTGTTGTCTGTGTGTGTCTATGTATGTCTATATGTGCGTCTGTGTGTGTCTGTGTATGTCTATATGTGTGTCCGTGTGTGTCTGTGTATGTCTATGTGTGCCTGTGTGTATGCATGTTTATCTGTGTGCATATATGTGCATGTGGTGCTTATGTATGTCTCTGTGTGTGCATATGTCTATGTCTGTGCATGGATGTGTGTGTCTATGTTTGTGCATGTGTGTGTATCTAGGTGTGTCTCTGTGTATGTGTATCTGTGCCTCTCTGTGTGCGTCTGTGTCTATGTGCATGTATTTGTGCATTCCTGTGTGTGTATATCTGTGTGTATTTGTGTGCATGTGTATCTATGTGCTTGTATGTGTGTCTGTGTATGTCTGCGTGCATGTATGCATTTATATCTGTATGTTTGTGTGTCTGTGTGTGTGTATGTGTCTGTATGCATGTATATGTTATATCTGTATGTGCCATGTATACGCCTCTGTGTCTATCTGTGTGTGTCTGTGTATCTGTATCTATGTATGTCTGTGTGCATGTATATGTGTGTATGTGTCTATGTGTGTGAGCTATGTGTGTGTCTCTGTCTCTGTGTGTGTGCGTGTGTGTGTGCTGTGCCTCAGGGGGTTGGGGAAGGAGCCGGGGGCCAAGGCCGACTCTGATTTCTGAGCTGTGTCACATGGCATGGGCTGCCTTGCCTTGTCCCATTTGCTCCAGAGGGTGACCCAGAAGGAAGCCTACTTGTCACAGATGCCATAGATGTCTATGTAGGGTGAAAAGTCTCTTGATTTGCCTGGGGCTTTCCCAGGCTTAGTCCTGTGTTCTGGGAATCCCTGAAAGTCTCAGGCAATCCAGGGCGGTGGCTGGAGGCTTTGGAGGGTGCTGCTTCTCCTGGGACATCTTCCAGAAATCTTTTCCCTGCAGAGATTTGCGTTCCCCCTTTCCATCCAGCACGGAGGAGCCTGGTGTTGGAATGGAGGGTTCCTTGGGCCCTGATGGAATCCCTTGAAATGGGTGGAACCAATCAGTTTGCCAACAACAGAGTTGGGGTCAGGCCAGGGTATCGGAAGTGGGTGTGCCCTTCCCGGGGCCCTCTGGTGGAGCTGAGGAGGCCGTGGCTGTCTGTCCCCACCTTCTCCTTCTTTTCTCTTGAGCAGCCCCTGCATCCTTCTCGCCTTCCCAGTGCCCTGTGGAGCTGTCCCCTGGGTCATTTTGTGCCCCCGTGGAGCTACCCACTGGGCCATTTTTTTCTGAATAGCAGGGCTGGTCCCTGAGACAGGGAAAGTTCTGCATCTGGGAGTAGCCAACCATCACCTGTTCTCCAGTTAACTTATCACGCATTTTGGAAGCACCAACTCTGTTTTAGGGACTGTGCTAGTTTCTGGGGTGCAAATATCAGTGAAGCATCTGCCCTCCCTTGAGGGACCCAGTCTCGTGAGGGATGCAGTGCTGGACCAGACACATGGCCCATATAATACGCAGGTGCCACTAGACACGTGAACAAGGAATGGGCAGCAACTCCTTTTGCCTGGGGTGCTGGAGAAGACTCAAAAAAGGAAGGGGATAAATGAGCTGTGTTCTGAGGGATGAATAGGAGTTGACCAGATGAAAGCAAAGAGGAAAATAAAGCACAGCTCACATGAAGATGCCAGGTAATGATGCAATTCTGGACAATCCCACTTAAACGAGTCACCTTTGTCCCGTCATGGCCTAGTTATCACAGAAAAAATGCCTCCAGCTGCAGTGATGGAGAGCCTTGAAGGCACACTGGGCTGACTCACCGTAAAGAAGTCACAGAGTGTCACATGTGGGAAGACCTCATGAGCTCTGTTCTTTGCACACTGGCGCTTGCTCTCTCTCCAGAACTCTTGAAGTTTTTCCAGCAGGGGCCCCGTTGGACAGAGGAAAAGGGCATACTCCTGGGGGATGGGGTCGTCTAGGGAAGGGTCATTGCAATGACCATGCAACCTGCAACAGAGAGCAAGCCGGCTTCACCCACCGCCACAACGAGAAGGTTTCTCCCCTTCGAGGACACACAACAGCAATAACAGCAAAGCAGAATTATAGGGTGCACCGAACACAGAATATATGCTCATGACATAAATGAATCCCCGTGCCAACCTATTGGCGGAGGCACCTGCAGTGGAGCTGCGTGTGGGACAGACCTGGTCCGTGTCCATCCTGTCCTCAGACCCACCTGAGTCTCATTCCAAACTCACACGTGGAAAAGATGAAAGAAAGCTGGCAGCAAGACCTGATACCTGGCCTTCAGATCATCTGGGGCCCCAGCGTCTCTTGGATGGTGTGGAAACATTTTGTTTCCACAAGCTTTACCTCAAGCTTCAAGTTACATATAAAAACCCAAACCAAAAACTAGACAAAATTTAGATAGCTACTACGTTTCTTTTGATTCAGTTAGTTATTTTATTTTTAAGATGGAGCCTCGCCCCCTCCCGGTGCCCTGTGAGTAGCAGGGAGGTTACTTTGGTTCACTTCCGCGGTGGCCCCATCCCACCCAGAGGCACCAGGCTTTTCCTGGTGTCCGCCCTGTTGGGAGGGGGCCCTCGAGCACAGGATGTTCAGCCCAGATGCCCCCAGGTCTACAGGAGCAGCCGCACTCACCAGGCCAAGGCCTCTTCTGCCGTCTTCCTGCCTGTGGCTGCCAGCGCTTTCAGCCTGCAGAAGAGCAGACACAGGCACAGAGTCACACCGCCATTCTCAGGGAAAGGGTCAGAGGCACAGGGTAGCCTTGCACTCCTGGATATTTGGGGTGTGCTCTGAAGAGGGCCTGACGCTGAACTTCCAGCGGGCATGTGCCCAGAGGTCCCTGTCCCCGAGTGCCACCATCATGGCTTTGGACAGTGCTGACCAGCTCACATCCCCCCCTCACTTTCCTTCCCTGGCTAACTGCTCTGGCCCTTGGCACGGGGTCTTGGTGCTGAGGACCTGATCTCTGCCCTCTCCTGCAATCCCTCTCCTTGGCCTGCCCCTCCCTGCTAGCTAGAGCAAATGGACCCACCTTGTGGATCCTGGAGGCAGCTTTGGTGGAGTGTGTCCCCGCTTGGACACATGCTTCCCTGACAAACGCTTCCTTCACCCCAACATCCCTTAGCGAAATGGCCTGATCCTCAGGCTCAGCTCCCACACGTGTCCCACGCTGGGGAACAGCCCTTCCCAAAGCACCGGGCAGCCACCTGTCACGGCTCTCATGGTCCTTCGCTCCCACGGCTCTCCCTGCTAGACCAAGAGCTCCCTGAATGCAGGGCTGTGTCCTACTCATCATGGTAACCAGGACGTAGGTACATCACATTGAATTTGGCTGAACTGGACCAAATGAAACAATGGAATGTAGCTTAGGCAATTTATCAGGACTGCCGACGGGAAACAGCGGGTGTCCATGAGGCACCCACCACATGTTGCCCGCTGTTGCTATTTGGGTGGGTGCCGACAGGCTGTGGCCACCTGGAGAGGTTTGAACAGGGGGGTCTCGGGACGGGGCCTTACTCGGAGGTGCTCTGATGTGAGAAAATTCACACCTTTCTCTTCCCCCAACATGTGTTTAATGTTTAAACCAGAAGGGATTTTGAGTAGGAGTCCATGCTACAGGTTCAACAGCAAAATACAACGTGGACTCCTTCAAAGGCAAAGAGGGCTGGTTCAAGCCCCAGCCCCACCGCCAACGCACTGTCTGGGCCCAGGGTCCTGCCTGCACTGGGTGGCGAGCAGAGGGTGAAACCTGCCTTGTACTCACTGCCTGAACGGTGCTCGGCGGTCGCCCTCCCCACGCCTGAACGCGTTCCCTGTTCAGAGGCCTGGATTAGCTTGAACATAACCGTGACAACCAAGCCCTGATTTGGGGAGAAGAAGGCTTTATCTAGCTTCAAAGTTGCTTTACCCAATTTGGCCAAGCTTTTGTGACAGTGTGGAAGGAAAGTTTAGCTCCTTCTCCAACCCAAAGTCACCTCAAGTGTGTTTCGGATTCATATTTCCGCGTGAAAAATGAATGGGCCCGATCGAAGGCGCTGGTTTGCCGCGAAAGCTGAAAAACCCAGTGTTGGCTGAATCTCCTCCTTCTTCGAGAGGGGTGACTCTGAAGGCTAAACTCTCCCACACACAGACCCTTCCCACAGGGGTGCGCTCGCACTGCGTCTGCAGCTTCCGACCCATTTGTTTCATTATCGGACACTCAAGGGATTCTCCCTGAGGACAAGTGGCTCTCCCTGGGCAGTGTGGCAGCACAGTCCTGCTGACAGTTGGTCCCAATGTTAGAGACTCAGCGGGCTTTGGGGTCTTTCACACTAGAGTTTGAACACCTTGAAATACCACCTTCAGAGTCACTGAGCTGCACACAGAGATTACAGCCAGGCCCCGAGTTCCCCCAAGCCCCCACAATGAGGCACCTGGAGTAACACATGGCTTCTGATTTCCACAATTTCAGGATCCCCCTGGCATCAGCCAGCAGAGCTAGTGATTCAAAGGTCAAGAATATCAGGGGTTTCCAATCTTTGCCTCCCTGGCCCCCACTGGAAGAAGAATTGTCTTGGCCCAGACATAAAACACACTGACACTAAGGATAGCTAATGAGCTAAAAACAAACAAACAAACACGAATCTCATAACGTTTTAAGAAAGTTTACCAATTTGTGTTGGACAGCATTCAAAGCCGTCCTGGGCCACACGTGGGTTGGACAAGCTTGGTCAAGATCATGTCCTTTACAACAAGCAGAAGAGAGGCTTCTGAAGAGCCAGGGTGTCACCCCACAAGGTACACGGCTTTGACAGGAGGCCGTGCCCTGCGCCCCTGCAGCTCCATGTCAGGGGCTGCAGCAGGGTCTGGCTCCAGCCCCATTGGCTGGGCCCCAGGGTCTCTGGGCAGTACTCACGAGGTGTGCACCGGGAAGCCCATGGCCAGGAGGGGCTCCAGGAGCAAGGGGGTGCTGCGGCCCTTGAGCTTGTTGGAGACCTTGGCGTAGAGCTGCGTCTCCCCCGCTGCCATCTCTTCCTGCCCGTAGGCCAAGAAGCTCGCCTGCACACAGAAACGAGGAGATAAAGTGAGAGGGGGAGAGGCAAGGCTGAGGCTGCGAAGAAAAACCTCAAGCCCTTTTTGATCTTTCTGACAAAAGCTGATATCCTGTTTGCATGAGATACTGGTTTTCAGAATTCTGCTTGCAGGGTGCTGAGTGCAGTGTCCACCAAAACGAACTGTTTCCACCATGAGTCTAAAGGTCCAGCCGAGCCCCTGCAACGGACCAACCTCAATGGGGACTTGGTCAGTGTTTGGGAGCAAGAATGCATGAGAGCAGGGGAAGGAGGTGGGAGTAGGAGTCAGGGAGTGAGCTGTCTCCTGGACCCTGCCGGCCACCTGCTCTGAACCACCCTGGATCCCAGTCTCCTTGTCTGCGAACAAGACATTAAACCCCCCTCTATCTACTCTCTCTGGGATTGCTGGAAAACTTGCTGGTTCTTTCAGACATTCGTTGACTTGTTTTCTTATTTTAAAAACTTTAAAAGCTTAACATGTGTACAGAAAAGCTGATGAATCATATGTGTACAGATCAAGGAATTTCCATAAAGGAGCCCACACCCGTAATTCCCCCAGGACCCAAAATAAAACTGTGCAACTAGGGGAATATTGTGGGTCCTCCACCCAAAGGGACATTTGGCATATCTGGAGACATTTTTGATTTTCCATACTGTGGGTGGGGGCAGTGGTGGTGGGGGTAGACATTGTGGTACTGGCACTAGTGGGTAGAGGCTGGGAATGCCACAGTGCCAGGAAGGCCTCCCCAACAAAATGTCAGTAGTGCCAAGGTGGAGAAAGCCTGCTCTGGAACATTCTCAGGATCTCAGATGCACCCCTGCCTCTTGCCCAGCCTCCTCCAGTTAGCTCCTCCCTCCCCCATGAAGGAAACTGCTATATTGCTTGTATATGAATTGTGCCTGCTGTTGAGCCTCATAAATAGAACCATATAGCATATTCTATATCACATCTGGTTTCTTTTGCCTCAAATTATGTCTGTAAAATTTATCTACATTATTGCTTGTAGCCACAGTTAGTTCACTGTTACAGCTGTGTAGTATTTGATTACAAAATATACTGGCAAGGTGCAGTGGCTCATGCCTGTAATCCCAGCACTTTTAAAGGCCAAGGTGGGTGGATCACCTGACGTCAGGAGTTTGAGACCAGCCTGGCCAACATGGTGAAACCCGTCTCTACTAAAAAATACAAAAGTTAGCTGGGCATGCTGGTGGGCACCTGTAATCCCAGCTACTCGAGAGGCTGAGGCAGGAGAATCACTTGAACCTGGGAGGTGGAGGTTGCAGTGAGTGAAGATTGCACCACTGCATTCCAGCCTGGGTCACAGCAGGACTCCAACTCAAAAAGAAATAAATAATAAATAAAATAAAATAAATATACCATAATTAATTCATCCATATTTCTGTTGATGTGCATTTGGGAGGTTTTCAGTTGTTTTGCTATTGTAACTAATGCTGCTGAGGACATTCTTATATGTGTCTTTGAGTGTACTGCACGTGCATTTCTGTTAGGTGTGCATCTGTGCATCTAGAAATGGGTTTGTTGGATCACAGAGCATGTGAAACTCCATTAGAAACTGCCAAGCAGTTGTAAAAATTTCTACATCCTCATTCACACTTAATATTATCAGTCCCTAATTTTAGCCCCTCTAGGGGGTGGTGGTGTGTAGTAGTACCTACCTATGGTTCCCATTTGCATTTCCCTGAGGGATAATGATATTGAGCACCATTTCACAGGCTTATTGCCCGTTTGAATATCCTCTCTGGGGAAGTTCCTGTTCAGATTTTCTGCTCTTTTTTTTTTTTTCACTAGGTTGTTTGCTTTTTCTTATCAATTTGTAGGAACTCTGGTTAGAGTTTTCTACATCCTGTTCAAGAGATTGTTGTTAATCCAACATTGATGAAGATAATCTATGCTTTGTTATAGAAGTTGTGCTACTTTTGACATTTGTATTTAGCTCTATGATCTATTTGAATTCATTCTGTGTATGGTGTGAGGTAGGGGTAAACTTTCATCTACTTCCCCATTGAAACGGCCATCCTTTGCCCAGTGAATTGCAGTAGGAGGGTTACTATAAATCAAGTGACTGTATATGGATTAGTTTTTTCTGTTATGCTCTCTTGTTTGATTTGTCCATTTTTGTGCCCATTCTACACTGTTTTAATTACTACAATGTTAAACCCTCTGATTTTGTCCTTTGCTTTTTCATGAACATTTACAAATCAAGTTGCCATAGTATGTCATAGTGTGTCATTGGGTAGTGCAAAAAGATTCACGCCTACCATCAACTGAGTTTCAACAAGGCTGTCAATGAAATTCAGTGGGGGAAAGGATAATGCTTTTGATAAATGGTGCTAGGGGCTAGTGCCTGTAATCTCAGCACTTTGGGAGGCTAAGATGAAAGGGCCACTTGGGCCCAGCCAGGGCAGCAGAGTGAGGCTCTGTCTCAGACAAAAAAAAAAAAAGGGTATCGTGGCATATGCCTGTAGTTCCAGCTACTCAGAGGGCCAAGGTGTGATGATGGCTTAAGCCCAAGAAATCGAGGCTGCAGTGAGCTGTGATTGCATTACTGCACTCCAGCCTGGGTGACAGAACCCTGTCTCAGGAAAAAAAAAAAAATTGATGCTAGGAAAACTGCATATTGATATGGGAAAAAATGAACCCCAACCCTTACCTCACATTATATACAAAAATTAACTCAAAGGCCAAGGCAGGCGGATCACCTGAGGTCAGGAGTTCAAGACCGGCCTGACCAACATGGTGAAACCCCGTCTTTATTAAAAAAAAAAAAAAAATTAAAAAAATTCTGATTTTCAATGTTGTTTACAGAAATTTAGGTCTCGTCTAATCTGCTAAATATGTTAATCAGTGTCAGATGCTGGATTCCAATTCATTTTTAGTGTCCACATCTTTTAATTAAATTTATATTACTTGTTAAAAAAATTAACTCAAAATATAAAAGCTAAAACTATAAAACTTCTTAAGAAAACCTAGAAAAAAAATGTTTGCTATGTTGGAGTTTACAAAGCTTTCTTAGGACATAAAATGAATAAGCCAATAAAAGAAAAAAAAGATGAGCTGGACTTCACCAAAGTTGAAAACTTCTGCTCTTTGAAAGACACTGTAAAGAATATTAAAAAGCCAATCACAGACTGGGAGGAAGTATCACTATATGTATACCTGACAAAGGACTTGTATCTAGAATATACAGAATATTTTATAGATACTTATAATAAAAAAAACAAGCTTCTAGTTTAAGAATGGGCAAAATATCGAAAACGTTACTTGCAAAAAGAAGATACAGACATAGACGTGACAAGGTGCCAACATCATTAGTCATCAGGGAAATGCAAATTAAAACCACAGCGTGATTCCACAACACACCCACTAAAGAGCTAAAATGGAAAAGACTGACAATACCAGGTTTAGACAAGGCTGGGGAATAATGAGAACTCTCACACAGTGTTGGTGGGAATGCGTAACTGTCTGACCACTTTGGGGAGCATTTGGATGGTTTCTTATAAAGGTAAACATACATGAAAATGTGTGTCCACACAAAGACTGGTCTACGAATGTTCATGGCAGCTCTATTATTTTTTTGGGTTTTATTGCACTGGTTTGGACCCCAAGTCAAATGTCAAACAGATGTGGTACTAGTGCACCTTCTTGTATAACTCTCCATCTCAGAGGACAAGGTCTCAATATTTCACCATTAAATGTGAGCATGTTATGATATTTATTTATCTATATATTTTTATTTTTATCTTTTTGAGGCAGACTCTTACTCTGTCACCCAGGCTGGAGGGCAGTGGCATCATCTTGGCTCACTGCAACCTCCGCCTCCTGGGTTCAAGCGATTATCCTGCCTCAGTCTCCTGAGTAGCTGGGACTACAGGTGCCCACCACCATGCCTGGCTAATTTTTGTATTTTTAGTAGAGACAGGGTTTCTCCATGTCAGCCAGGCTGGTCTCAAACTCCTGACCTCAGGTGATCCACCCGCCTCGGCCTCCCGAAGGGCTGGGATTACAGGTGTGAGCCACCACGCCTGGCCTGGTTTTTAAATAATATTCTTTTCACTGTACATATTTAAGGTGTACAATGTGATGTTTTGATATATTTATACTTAGTGAAGTGAGTGCCATCATTAAGCAAACTAACATATCTTCATCTTGCATTGTTACTTTTTTACTTTTTTTAATGGTAACAGAAACTGAAATCTGCTAGTGGCAAATTTTCAGTATTCAGTAGGACATTATACCTCTGGTTGTCAGTTGTACCTTCCATCTCTGGACTTCTTCACCCTACACATCTGCCACTTTACACCTTTTGACCCACACCTCTCCATTTCCTGGCCCCACGCCCTCCCCTCAGAGCCCCCACTTTATTCTCTATGTATTCAACTTTTTTTTTTTTTTTTAAAGATTCCACATATAAGTGAGATCCTGCAGTATGTGTCTCTCTGTCTGGCTTATTTCACTTAGCATGATATCCTGAAAGTTCAGTATTTTTTTTCCTTGAGGAACTCAAATGATGAAATAATTCCACAATCAAATGATTTATCTTGAACTTGAAAGTCTGCAAACAGAGGAAGCTTGTGACCCAAAAGGAAAAAACAGATTTGTGTGTGAATATAGTCTCTATTCAGGTGTATTTTTCTCTTCTAAATAATAAACGCTGTTTTGAGCAATTGTGTTATGGTTATAACATATTAAAATGAAAAATGCAGCTGGGCACGATGGCTCATGCCTGTAATCCCAGCACTTTGGGAGGCCAAGTGGATCACCTCGGCAGGTGGATCACCTGAGTTTGGGAGTGCAAGACCAACCTGACCAACATGGAGAAACCCCATCTCTACTAAAAATAGAAAATTAGCCGGGCATGGTGGCACATGGCTGTAATCCCAGCTACTTGGGAGACTGAGGCAGGAGAATCATTTGAACCCGGGAGGCAGAGGTTGCAGTGAGCCGAGATCACACCATTGCACTCTAGCCTGGGAAGCAAGAGCGAAACTTGCATCTAAAATAAAATAAAATAAAATGAAAAATGCTTCTATGCATTTCTCTTGTAAAAAAATCTTATTTGTGTAAGCCAAATGGAGATGTCTTATCTAGCTTAATTCTTCCTTTACAACTTGAAAAGTTGTCTTCCAAGCCCAACAGGGAAGAGTCTACCAGTTTCCCCCCTCACTTACTGAAGAGAATGTGCCTGTAACTCAAGCTGTTTGCGAATCGTTACTAAAGATTCACTGGGCTCCTGGGAGAGACATCAGGACAGGAAAAGGCGCTCGCGCCCCGAAACCAAGTCTGCTCACGGCACTGGCTTCGTAACTGTCATATGGTAGGCCCCAAATACGCTTATTTCTCTGATTCTTTAACATTTTAGTTTGAGCTCCATGGAATCGATTTGTAGGTAAACCTCTGAGAGGTTATTTTATGGCGAGGAAGACCAGCCATTTTTGTGGGGCCTTACCCTCCTACCCCCGGGGAGCTGGTTTGACCTTTAACATACATCTGACACACTTGCTAACATGCCCTTGTTGTTGGCTATGCATGTCGACGTGTTGTGATTTGCTCCCCCGGGTCAGCTCATCCATGTATACAAAGCCCCTGTCACACACACATGGCTCTGCTGAGCACCGCAGGGTCTTAGGAGTGAAAGCTCATGCCAGAAGCTGTCCCCTGACAGCTTACTCCAGGCGGGAGCATCTCCTATCACACACAGGGAAAAGCAAGGGAAGGATGGCATGTTAAATTTCCTGCCATTGCCTTTGAGGGCAAACATTCATTCAGGGACCGGAAAGAGTAGCCAGGGAAGAGGCGAAGGAGAGAGAAGTGAGCCTGAAGGAGACCTCACATCAAAGTCAAAGGGCACTGACAGGCATGTGGGCAGGCACTCACCGGGAGGGGGGCGAGGCTGACTTCAACATGGACTGCCGGGACGCGTCTCCCAGGCACTTGCCGTCAGCACATCCTGCCAATTCTGCCTTCAAAATCAGTCTCAGGCAGTCAGTCCCCACTGTGGGCACCACTGGCGCCTGGTCCAAGCCATGGCCCTCATGGCCCATGAGATGCAGCCTCCCCGTGGCTGTCCTTGTGTCCCTCAGTCTTACCCTACTCTGTGCCCTGCTTGTCAATCCGAATTTGCCCCATCCAGATCCCCCGAGGATTTCCGCACACCAAAGGTAAATCAGAGCCCTCCCCATGCCCCTGGGCCCCGGGATCTGCCATTGGCCCCGCCGGCCTCACTTCGTGGCACTCCCCGTTCCCTGCTCTCTAGGCTCACGGTCCCTCTTGGGGTTCCTCAAATACTCCAGCACAGCCCGTCTCCAGGCTTTGGAGTTGGTGGTCGCCTCCTTGGAGCAATTTCATAAGACTCAATTCACTGGTCACCAGGGTCCCTGCTGAAACGTCTCTCTCTCTAGAGGCCGTCCTGCCACCACTCTTCCCCCATGGCTCTCAGCCCCTCCTGCCTCATCTCTCCCTAATGCTTATCACCTGGGGCCCACGAGAGCGTTTTGTCTTTTTTGCTGTCTGCTCTCTGTCTAGAGTCTGACTCACGGCAGATGCTTGCTAAATATTTGCTGAAGAAATGCATGGATTCAGGATTCCCCATCCACAATGGTAAATCCAGCCCTTCAACGATGGTCCTCACAGCAGGAGGGAATTGTCCTCACCTGCTAAAACCCCTTGAAGCAGGGCTGTGTGTAGAAGCCTCTTGGGACACAGAAGCCTCTCAGGACGCAGAGGCCTCCGAGGAAGGAAACATGACCTGTCTTTTGTGGAGTGCTGGCTTCAGTGACCATCTTCAGGCTCCCTGTCTTTTGTCTGCAGGGCAGGTGCAGAATTGAATTTGGGGGCTCGGTTACAGGGAGGGACAGAAACCCCCACCAAAGAGTGTGCCTGCCTCTTGACGGCCGTCACTGACTCTGCACGGGGCCTAGTGGTTCTTTCAAGTAAAAGGAGCGCGTGTGTTCCAATGACTCTCTGAGGCAAAGTTTCTGAAAAGGTTTGCTCACCTTACTGACTAATGAAAGGGCAGCCACATTTTTCCCTCCCTGGTCTCTGTAGCCTCACCGCCCAGGGCTACCTGATAGCTCCATGCAGATTGGGTTACATGGGTGCCCACATAATGCCATTTGCTACGACGATTGAGTCGACAAGGCTGAGTGACTCGGGGAAAATGTGCCCCCATTGGTCTAACCTGTTGGCGGCCTGCTTACCATCACACTTGTTTTTATAATGAAAGAGGAAATTATTTCTGCTTTTAGTAATGGCAGCTCCAGAAACGGTGAGTAAAATGGGTGTTCGGAGAGAAGCCTCTCTGCATTTCTCAGTGTTGTACAGCTGCCAACCACAGCCTGTCTGGGAGGGAACGTTCTCACCCTGGTTCCATCTTTCAGAAAGCATTTTCCCACTTATTCTTTTGATACAGATAAACTGTATAATTTGCTACATGCTGATAGTAAACAGAGGTATCAGCAAGAATGAAAGCCAAACAATGGCCCACCATGACCTTCTTGTTTTTCTAAGATATTCTTCGAAGCTATTCTTGCGATAGAAATGAAATAAACATTTTTGGCACAAAACTCTTGTTTAGATTTTACTACGACCATGTGAAACACGGTTTGTTTCAAATGGCTTGCTGGTTTCCTTTGGAATTCCAAATGTTACCACAGGTAGCCCCAAAGGAAATGAAAGCGGATGATCTGGATATCTGTGTTTCTGTGCCTGCTGGAGCCTCTGTGGATTTCAGCCCTCGGAGGAAACAGGTTCCCAGAGCAGCCATGCCCGATATCTGGAAGAGGGAACTGGAGTTTAACTGGGAACATTCTGCTATTTGCCTACTTCCTCCGCCCTCTTGGGGTTACAGGGAACGACTTGGAAAGGCCTCTGGTCTCTTTTGCCTTGCGGTAGGTGGAATTCTTTCGTAGGAAACACAGCCCCAGGGTTTTGATGCAAGCCATTGGTCCAAAGCCACTCCCCACTTTGTTATGTGGGCGAAGGACTGGGCACCGGGCAGCTTGGATACTTTCACTCTTAATTAGGTCATGCTCGTGTGAGCAGGAAAGGGCTGAGTTTATGGGAAGCTGCTAATATCGTGGCCAGCTATCCCTTCCCGGGTGCCATCTACGTTTCTGGGACTCGGGTATTATGTGAGTATCGAAACTTCTTATGCTTTTGGTAGGTGTTCCACACGTGCAGGTAAGAATTGCGTTTATGTGGGACAGGTGAAAACAATTGCAAAAAAGCGACGGAAAGGTCATTGAGAGTAATTTATCTTCTGAAGAATAACAATATGGTCGGGAACTTCTAAGTGGTGAAAGGGAATCTCTCTAAAGATATGCTACGCAATCAGTTTGAAGATTGTTTGGACAGACACCGGGAAAGTCATTGTCTTAGCGGAATTAAGTTCATACTTTCTTTGCTAACTCTAGAAGCTTTTCTGTTATCTGCCGTGGCTCAGACAAAATGTATTCTCACCAGACGAGTGTTTCTGATTAATCCATACTGAATGTGTTTTGTGTGGACTGTCGAATTTCAAAGATTTACCGTGTGACCAAGATGCACCTGATGCTACAACCATAAATAGACTAATAAATGTTTTCTGTTCTTCCTCCGCTAAGGAGGTGGAGGTGGAGGTGGAGCCGGATGTCAGAGGTCCTGAAATAGTCACCATGGGGGAAAACGATCCGCCTGCCGCCGAAGCCCCGTTCTCATTCCGATCGCTTTTTGGCCTTGATGATTTGAAAATAAGTCCTGTTGCACCAGGTAGGTAGACCCAGGTGGGGACCTTGTGATTTCTGCCCATACCCCCATGGAGATGACCAGTGTAGCTGAGTGTCCCTGTAGGGGAAATATCTCCGCAGCTGTTCTGACATCCACAGGCTGGACACCTGCACTTCCCTAGACCTGCAGAATCTCGGGGAGAAGGGGCACTGAAGAGGGAATTGTTTGGTTAAGCCACTTGCTCACTCCCTGGAGATAGGTGTTTTCTTCTCTTGTTGGAGATTTTCAGAGATTGGGCTTCCGCAATTGCACTGTCAATCCTGAAGGAGGTCAGATCCTGGCCAGGAAATCTCTGAGCCCTCCAGGAAGTCCTGAGAAGCAGTGACCACTCATCCTTCCAAAAACTTAGGACACACTGGATGTCACCAAAGATATGAGAGGCCTAGATTAAAATCCAGAAGCAGATGACAGAGTGGCTCCTAGCAGAGGAGGAAAAATCTTGTTTCATAAATGAGTCACAAATGCTTGGCAAAACACTGGACTCTCTAGCAGCCTGTACAGCTAGGATCTTTTTGACGGGAGACGGTCAGGACTGGTCAGAGGGAGCTGTGGGCTTGCTGGTTGTGGAAGTTGGGGCTTGAATGCAGGCAGAATCCTGACCTGTTGGTGCTGGGGAGGAACCACAGAAGCTCTGCCTGAGTTTCCAGAAAGCAGGAGTGGGGGCCACCCTATGGACTCCTTTTAAAGCACCTGGACAATTGGCTTGGAGGAGGTTTGGAAAGGATGAGAGGTGGGAGAAGAGGTTTCAAGTAACTGAAAAGGCACACTATTTAAAAATATGGCTCAAAATTAGCATAAGTGTCGATGAAAGAAAAGTCTTGCAATCACCGACCCCCCCAAAACTCCCCTGGTTTTTATGTCCACATTCAGTCCCTTCCTGCTTTTGCCTCTAAGTGTGGTTTTGTGCACGGTGCAGATATAGGCAGGTGGGTTTTTTCTGTAAAAGGTTTTTATAAATCTTGTGGAATCACAATATTCGATCAAGTAGATATGCAATTTACATAGCCATTTGGTCATCATTTGACCTGCAGTTGTTCCTAATATAATTTAAATAATATGAATATTGATAGCACTATAATATTCCTTTCTCTTATTTTTTGATGATTTTGCTGTGACTAATTCTTAGCAATCATGAGGAACAAAAACGTTTCCTTGTAAACAGACCAACATATTGTTCATTAGAACAATTCAGAAAATACAGTTCAGCAAAAAGATTTTAAAAAATCACCCACAATGGCACCGTTACTAAGAGATAATCCTGCTAGCAATTCATGATTGGATTTCTTGCCTTCTATCTGTAGATCTGTATTTCCTCTTGGAAGTACCGTGTACTATTTATAATATTTTGAAGCTTTTTAAAAAATTAACAATATCATCTTTATCTTTCTATGGCATTAAATAATTAAATATTTTCTAGATATTGACAAACTATGGCTGCTGGGTGAAATCTGGCCCACCCCCTGCCTTTATAAATAAAGTTTTATTGTAACACAGACACATTCATTTGTTCACATACTGTGGCTGCTTTCATGTCATAAAGCAGAGTGGGGTTGTTGGGACAGATGGCATGGCCCATAAAGTTTAAATTGCTGTGTTTACTATCCGGTCCTTTACAGAAAAAGCTCGCCGACCCCCTTTCTATACCATCTTGTCCTCCTATAGGTATTCTAGTATATGTGTACATCATTTCTGATTTCAACTGTTCTGTTTTGTGGATCATTTGGTCTGTTTCCTGTGCATCAATATTATAAGTGTCCTTGGGGGTCGATATTTGCATACATCTATGGTGACATTTTAGGATAAATTCCTAGAAGTGGAACTGCTAGGTCAAAACTTTCATCTGTGTTTGAGCTTTCTGGTTTCTAAGTTTATATAGTTGGGAAGTTTACGTAATTTATACCCCTATGGACTGTAGGTGGGGGTCCATTTCCTTTCACTTCAGTTGAATCATTGTGAAGTTGGTATGTAATTATGTCTAATTTACTTTGTTTTCATTTCTCAAGAAGTCAAAAGCTTTTTTATTTTTTTTTCTTTGAGACGGAATCTCGCTGTGTCGCAGGGCTGGAGTGCAGTGGCACAATCTCGGCTCACTGCAACCTTTGCCTCCGGGTTCAAGTGATTCTCCTGCCTCAGCCTCCCAAGTAGCTGAGACTGCAGGCACCCACCACCACGCCTGGTTAATTTTGGTATTTTTAGTAGAGATGGGGTTTCACCATATTGGCCACGCTGGTCTTGAACTCCAGACCTCGAGTGATCTACCTGCCTTGGCATCCCAAAGTAGCTGGGATCATAGGCGCGCACCACTACACCCAGCTAATTTTTATGATTTTAGTAGAGATGGGGTTTTACCATGTTGGTCAGGCTGGTCAAGAAGTCTAAAGCTTTTCCATACTTGTGTGCCATTTGCATCCCTTCTTTGGAGAAATGCTGTACATTTCACTGTGTTTTCCAGGTATGCCCTCAAGGACCAAGCACAGGGGAGGCGTGGGGCCCCTACAGTGCCCAAAGGGCAGCCTGGCAGAGGAGTAGGGCAAACGGAAACAAATACAAAATTTCTATTACATGTCAATCTGTGATTTTACAATTTGGGGTTATTTTCTAAATCTAACTTAGATACAGAGCAGCTGGAATGCGAAAAGGTCATGCCTGGGGTTCCTGCAGATTTCTAAGTGTAAGATGGAGGGTGGGCATCCTCATAGGAAGAATTGTTAGTTTGCTGGGGATGGAGGTGTGAGGGTGGAGAGAGAATCCGTTCCGCCAACTCAAGACCACAGATAGGCTGTCCTGAAAGCACTTGGTCTCAGATCCTGAGTTAAAGCAACTTCATTATCATGATGTCATTCATTCACTCACCTAGATTTTTAAAAACGAATTTTTATTAGAACACAGCCATGTTCATTCACTTATGTATTGTCTTTGTGTGTGTGTGTGTGTGTGTGTGTGTGTGTGCGTGTTATGTTATTGTTTTTGAGACCAAGTCTCGTTCTGTTGCCCAGGCTAGAAGTCTTGCTCTGTTGCCCAGGCTGGAGTGTGGTGGCATGATCTCTGCTCACTGCAACCTCCACTTCCCAGGTTCAAGCTATTCTCCTGCCTCCGCCTCCTGAGTAGGTGGGACTACAGGTGTGTGCCACCACACCTAGCTAACTTTGTATTTTCAGTAGGCATGGGGTCTCTCTATGTTGGTCAGGCTGGTCTTGAACTCTGGACCTCAGGTGATCTGCCTGCCTCTGCCTCCCAAAGAGATGGGATCACTGGCATGAGCCACTGTGCCCGGCCTGTCATCTAGCACATTTTCACCAAGGACTACTGTGTACCTCCTGGTGTTCTAGGAATGGAGAATGCAGCCTCAACAAACTGCTGAGCTTGTCCAGGCCTAAAACACAGAGCTTGCCTGTCTCTCGTCCTCCAACCCTCTGAGTTCCTCACAGCCTCCGTGTCTGTGGTGTGCACCTCCTGTGCCCCTTCTCTTCCTCCACCTCTCACTCACCCTCTCCTCTGCACACTCTTTTCTCCTCGCATTCTGTGTCTTTTCACCATTTTTGTCTTCAAATTCTCATTTCTTAGGCAACCTCTGCTGATATTGATCATTTCATAATCATACCCCTTATTGCCAGAGGGTGAAGTTGTGAGTCTCCATGGACAGGCAGGGAAAGATCTTCTTAGCTGTTCCATGAGAGAGCTTTTGGTTCAACATGTCCAAGACTAGGAGAAGCGAGGCGGGTGCTTAGTCTCGTCCTGGGCAATTGTGCCACCCTGGGCAGGCTTCCCTCCCCTTTCTGGATTCCAACTTTCCTAATTTTTAACAGAGGTGACTTGGGCACAGATGTGTTTTCAGGATTGACAAAGCAATTTTTGTGAAATGGCCTGCTCTGCCCTGGAGGAAAGAGTGCTAGTGGGAAATTTCCTGCTACCCAGAGAGACATTCTTCTGGGCAGGCATCTGGACACTGCCTATACATTGTTTCCACCAGATGGGCCTGGTTCTCAAGGCAAGAACTGTGAAGGGCCTGAGATTTCACCCAACCTGCAAGCTAAAATTTAGTTTGCCACAGTTTCATGGGTGCTTCCGAAGACACAAGACTCCTGGGTCAGAGACAAGGGACGCTATTCCTCACAGTGCAGCAAGAGGCACAAGCGTCCTGATTGTGCTGGGTGGTTGCCTTTGCGTTCTCAGTCCCACAGAGGCATGCGGAGCAGCCCATGTGTACACTGCACGTGCAGGCAGCTTGCATTGCTGCTGCACATCCTAGAGTTAAGGAAACCCTAATCTTTATAACGGGCTGCAAGCAGGCCTGTGCAAATTTTGCTCTGGAGGAAGACATTGTATTTGTGAAACTGGACAGTAAACAAACCTGCCACATGCTCTGGAGGGAGATGCTATTTCTATATTCCAAGGATGTTTGCTCTACACACATCCTTGAAGAGATGATCTGGAATGAAAGCTGTCAGTGTTTCTGTGCACAACAACTGTGGAGTATGGTGTATCAACATCCTGTCCTTGGCTGGACATGATGGCTCGCAACTAGAATCCCAGTACTTTGGAAGGCTGAGTGGGAAGAATCGCTTGAGCCCAGGAGTTTGAGACCAGCCCGGGCAACGTAGTGAGACTCCCATCTCTCTAAGAAAAAATTTAAACAAGCAAACCAAAATTAACATCATGTCCTTGCATCCCCTCTGGCAGACCCCAGCACTACCTCTGGACTGCAAGTCCCCGTGCCAGTTTCATACCCTCCTCTGAGGGGGAACTGCCCCTCTGTATTAGTGTCCTAGGGCTGCTGAAACAAAGACCCCAAAACTGGGTGACCTAAAACAACAGGAACTTATTGTCTCAGTTCTGGAGGTCAGAAGTCCGAATTGCAAGGTGTCGTCGAGGCCATGCTCCCTCTTAAACCTGCAGGGCACCCTGCCCTGCCTCTTTGTAGCTCCTGGCGGTCTCCCAATAATCTTTTGCATTTCTTGGTGTGTAGATGCATTGCTCCATCTCTGCCTTCATCTTCATGAGGCTGACTTCTGCCTGTGTCTCCTCCCATCTTCTTCCCTCCACGCATGTTTGTCCCTGTGTCCTGATTTCCCCTTTTTGCTTTTTGGAGACAGAGTTTTGCTCTTGCCACCCAGGCTGGAGTGCAGTGGTGCTATCTCATCTCACTGCAACGTTCGCTTCCTGAGTTCAAGCGATTCTCCTGCCTCAGCCTCCCAAGTAGCAGGGATTACAGGTGCCCACCACCACATCCAGCTAGTTTTTGTATTTTTAGTAGAGACGGGGTTTCACCATGTTGGCCAGGCTGGTCTTGAACTCCTGACCTCATGTGATCCACCTGCCTGAGCCTCCCAAAGTGCTAGGATTACAGGTGTGAGCCACTGTGCCTGGCCAATTTCCCATTTTTTAAGGACAACAGTCATGTTGGATTAGGGCCCACCCTAATGACCTCATTTTAACTAGATGGCTCTGTAGACACCCTCCAGTTCATCTCCAAATAAGATGCCATTCAGAGGTAGTAAAAGTCTTTCTGGGGATCCTATTCAACCCGTAGCACCATCCCTGCAGTCCCCATGGAAGGACTGGGTCGAAGGTGGAGCAGGTAGGACTGAACTTCTAGGGAACGTGTCCCTCGGCAGGTGGCCCTTTCTCTAATTAAGGCACCTTTCTTTTTTTTTTTCTTTGAGACGGAGTTTCGCTCTTGTTACCCAGGCTGGAGTGCAATGGCGCAATCTCGGCTCACCGCAACCTCTGCCTCCTGGGTTCAGGCAATTCTCCTGCCTCAGCCTCCTGAGTAGCTGGGATTACAGGCATGCACCACCATGCCCAGCTAATTTTTTGTATTTTTAGTAGAGACGGGGTTTCACCTTGTTGACCAGGATGGTCTCGATCTCTTGACCTCGTGATCCACCCGCCTCGGCCTCCCAAAGTGCTGGGATTACAGGCGTGAGCCACCGCGCCCGGCCAATTAAGGCACCTTTCATTGGGCTGAGGCTTCTCTGCAAAGAGGGGAAGGGGAATGGATAGCTAGATTTGTGAGTTTCACGCCACCCCAAGTGAAGCTCTGTGGCCTTCTGCTCTTCTAGATTTGTGAGTTTCACGCCACCCCAAGTGAAGCTCTGTGGCCTTCTGCTCTTCCTCTTCCTTCTGGTTTTCAGATGCAGATGCCGTTGCAGCACAGATCCTGTCACTGCTGCCATTGAAGTTTTTTCCAATCATCGTCATTGGGATCATCGCACTGATATTAGCACTGGCCATTGGTCTGGGCAGTGAGTACAATTCATTATTTAGTAGGCTCTCCAATACCTAGCCAAGCAGTTAAACTTTCATGAGCGCCCCCACTCATTCTGGCATTTTGCTGCTGCCCAGCCTTAATTACTGGAGGCAAACATCCTTTTCGTTTGCTGACTTGAAGTTTTATTTGCCTGCTTGGATGTAAAGCCAGTCTGGGGCACAGCAAGGGCTGCTGGCCGTGCTCATGACTTTGTCACCAAGGAACCTGCCCGGTTAGGAGCGGCCAAAGGCAGCTGATGAAATAGAATCCCGAAGGTGGGAAGGAGGTGCTGACCGGAGCAGTGGGGAGAAGACAAAGGGGCCCATTCATGCGAGGCAGGCGCACCAGCTGTTTTTATAATAAGGTGCATGTGGCTTTTGAGAAAGTGGGTCATTTGGATGGAGGGTCTCTAATAGGGAACAATTTTTGTTTCAAATAACTGAATCACAGGTCAGCTGAATTTGCCACCTGCCCCACTGTGTGGTCCGAAGCTCATTTGCCTTCCCCCCAGGGTAAGAGAAACCAGGGAGATGAAGGAGTTCTCAGTCAGGACTCCTTGCTCGGCCGGCTCAGCAGGTCGGCCCCCAGCCATGCAGTTTCTCTCTTGACCTTGAGCCCTCCAGAGTCTAAATTCACCTCGCACTGTGGTTTCCTGGCCAGGCCACTTAGTGAGACAAAGTGGGGCACAGCAGCCCCACCCCTTGGAATTCAAAACAGAAACTAGGCTTTGGGAAACAGGGAGGCGATTTCAATACAGGTTTTATCATTTTGCTGGCCGGCTCCGCGCTGTGTGGCAGGTGGACAGTTGTTAGTGCTGCACACTGAAGGAGCTGTTGGTTATTCCCTGCCTTCCTCCCTTTTCCCAGTCCACTTCGACTGCTCGGGCAAGTACAGGTGCCGCTCATCCTTTAAGTGTATTGAGCTGACAGCTCGATGTGATGGAGTCTCAGATTGCAAAGACGGGGAGGACGAGTACCGCTGTGGTAAGGTCATGGCTCTTCCCGGGGAAGTGGAAGGAAGCAGCAGAGGCCAACCCTGACCCTTCCCGTCTGTGAAATGGGTCCAAGTCACTGCCATTTTTAGGTCATGTCCTCAGTGGGGATTGAACTGACATTTGCCCAAAGACATGTTGTACTGGGGGTCAGGGAGGGCCTTCCAGGCACCACACAAGCAATGAGACCACCGAGAAGTCTCAGGGGTCCAGGGTCACTGCTCTGTAACGGGGAGCCTTCTTACCCTTAATGTGCCCCCTCTGTGAGAAAGTCCAGGGACAAGGAGTGGGTCAGATTCGGCAGGGGAGGGGTTTGAGCTGGCTGTGGAGAAGCCCCTGCCTGTGGTTCAGGGTTCCACTGACCACTAATGAGCCTTTCTCCCTGCGCGTCGGCCAGTCCGGGTGAGCGGCCAGAATGCCGTGCTCCAGGTGTTCACAGCTGCTTCGTGGAAGACCATGTGCTCTGATGACTGGAAGGGTCACTATGCAAATGTTGCCTGTGCCCAGCTGGGTTTCCCAAGGTAAGTTAAAGAGCATTTCCAACCCACGGGCAAAACACAGAGAGGATAACAGCGAAGAAAGGCAATGACCGTTCAGCTGGGCAGCCTCGGCGCTTTCCCGCTCTCACATCCCATCCTCACAGCCACCTGGGGATGCCCAGTACTATCCTCACTTAGCAGGAAGGCAAGCCAAGGCCAGCCAGGCTAAGTGACCTGCTTGAGGTGCCTGGGAAATGGCGTGTTTGGGGTTCTGGGGGCCAGGCCAGGACCTCAGATGCAAACATGCAGTAAAAAGCCTCAGAGTCAAAAACAAGTGCTTCAGCTCCTCAGCCTGCAGCTCCTGGAGGAGACTCCTGGACACTTTCCCGCCTGGTCCTGGTGGTCACAGCAGTGTCCCTGCACACTTTGCCAAGAACCCCACAGAACCAACTGTTCAAAGTCAGGAGTGTAGTGAAGACACAGTCATTCAAAACGGTTGTTTAGCAACATGTAGAACAAAGAGCCATAGCAGTTGACTGCACTTGTTAGTGTTTGGTGTTGCCTACGTGACTGTTTGCATTGGGATGACACTGTTTTGGCCCAGGCCTGGGCCTCCTTCTCTCCCCGGTCCTTCCTTCTGACCTCCACAGCTTCCGCTGGAGTCTTCCTTACTCTCCTTTGCTCCGGATTCTCCGTGTTCAGAGCAGGCAGGCACATTCTGCGTTGTACTCAGGAAGATGGGGTACTAAAGCCACGCTGCCTGAGGCCCCCACAGAGACTCAACTTTCAAAGTCTATGCATCGTATTCTCGGCTCTCTTTCTCCAAAGCCGGTGACGCCAAATTACCCTCCAGACTCTAGCCCTGAGGTCTGCCTCCTTCTCCCTCCACACCAGCTGAGATTCAGAAATGAGCTGCCATGCAAGTTCAATGAGAACAGCAAAAATCATCCACGCTAACGCCTTTAGGAATTAAGTATTACTCCTCAGAGACAAGGAGGAAGAGGTATACACACACTGTACACACACATACACACTGCACACAGCTGAGAAGAGGTACACACACTGCACACACACACTGCACACACACTGCACACAGCTGAGAAGAGGTACACACACACACACACACACTGCACATACCTTGGAGCTTTCCCATTGGGTATTTCTCTTCCCTGCTGAGCCTCTTCCTCTGACTCATTGGGTGGGGGGCATGGGGGGCCTCCTTTTCTCTTCTCTCTGCATTCCTTCTCTGTCCTGGAGGGCCACTCCTCTCTCTGAGCAAACCCCAAGGCCTCTCTGCTCTGTCATGCAGAAAAACTCAGCTCAATCCCGCTCCCTTCCCAACCAGCAGACCCAAGTCAGGGGCCCCAGCTGTCCCAGGGATCAGTTAGAGGCCACCTCACGGTGGTGCAGCCTTCCTGTCTGTCTTCCACCCCAGTCTGTTTGCTGAAACATTCCTTCTTACACTTAAGGTTCTCCCTCTGCGAGGAAGTCCAGGGAATGCCATCTCCCCTGTCTCTCACACAGCATTGTCCGCTTTCTTCTCTACAGGCTTGTGCTTTCGTTCCCTAGCCATTGCTTCAGTTTCTAAGATTTCTTTCTGCGTTTTGTTCTGTTAATTTTTTAAAATTCTCTTTGAAAATCCTTCTTTAATATTCTCTGCTCTACTAATCCTATGTCAGATATCTGTGATTCAGAAAGAAAGAAGGAAAGAAAGAAAAGGAAGGGAGGAGGGAAGGAAGGAAGGAGGAAAGGAAGGAAGGAAGGAGGGAAGGAAGGAAGGAGGGAAGGAAGGAAGGAAGGAGGGAGGGAAGGAAGGAAGGAGGAAAGGAAGGAAGGAGGGAGGGAAGAAAGGAAGGAGGAAAGGAAAGAAGGAAGGAGGGAAGGAAGGAAGAAGGGAAGGAAGGAAGGAAGGAAGGAGGGAGGGAAGGAAGGAAGGAGGGAAGGAAGGAAGGAAGGAAGGAAGGAAGGAAGGAAGGAAGGAAGGAGGGAGGGAAGGAAGAAAGGAAAGAAAGCAGGAAAGAAGGAAGTAGGGAAGGAAGGAAGGAAAGAAAGAAGGAAGGATGGACTGTCAAGCCAGATTGCTTGGGTTCACATCCCAGTGTAGACTCAGGCAAGTTCCACACACAGCTCCTGCCTCAGTTTCCTTCCTTAGAAAGCAGGGATGGTAATAGCACCTGCCTTGAGGGGCGTGGTAAGTTCCGATGACCCCGTGAGGGTGAAGAACTTGGTGCGCGACAGCACGCTGGCGGAGCATGGGGCTGCGGTTGCCATTGTTAGCACTTTGAGACTTGAACAGTTTATGGGGCTCCAATTGCAGCACTGGGGTCTTCTTGCCTGGCACAAGCCCTGCCACTGGCACCGGGACCAGGCCATCCCAGCAACAATCCGCCCTTTCACGCCAGTGCCCGTGGTATCAGTGCATTGAGCAATCCTTGGAAGGGTGCCTACTGCCTTGATTACATTTTCCTCAAAACTCCAAGTCGACTGAACTTTGTATTTCACATACACATCCCCATAGCATTTACGGTAAGCTGATGAATCCTGTGGGTAAGCTGGCATGCTCACCACGAAAGCAAGCCTTCTGCACTGTGTTTTCACAAAGAAAGGGGAACATGGCTGTTTATTCACCATTTTCCATCTTGTGACTTTCTAAACATTTGATTAAAAAAAAAAAAGTTGCACCACTTTCACCATTGTTCTCCAGAAGACCCTTGTCCTGGCACTTTAAACATGAGCTGGGCTCTGATGTTCACGGAATCACTTTCTTGTACGTGTTCATCTCTTTCCGGTGGGGACCCATGCTGGTCCTGGGCAGATGAGGGGCATCTCTCCTGTTTCTCCAACTCATTGTTCTTGGGGACTTGGTGTCCCTGCTTTGCTGCCCCCTGACAATACTGGGCTTAGTTCTGTGCTCAGCTCCACTCAGGACTTGCTTCAAGCCAAGCAAAGGGCATTTCAGCTAAGTGTGTAAAGGGTGTGACCCATTCAAGGACATCAGGAGGTGGTCATTCATCCGTGTGGCTGCAACCCAGGGTGGGTGGATGGGGATGCTGGGTGCAGGCAAGAAGCGGGGGTCATCCCAGGACACAGGAGACCTGGAATGAATGCCTTGCCAGGGTGAGTGAACTTCATTCTCTTGGAAAAAGGAAGCCTTCGATGGGTTTGGGGGAACAAAATGACACCCCCCATGTACAATCCCTGTAGTATTGTGACTCACACATGGGTTGGATGCTTCAAAGGGTAAATTTAACACGTCAGGTCTGTGTTTCTGATGTGCTTGCAGCTATGTAAGTTCAGATAACCTCAGAGTGAGCTCGCTGGAGGAGCAGTTCCAGGAGGAGTTTGTGTCCATCAATCACCTCTTGCCAGATGACAAGGTGACGGCGTTACACCACTCGGTGTTTGTGCGGTAGGTGGTCAGGCGATGCTGTCGTCTGCATGGGCCTCGAGACACCTGCTGGATTTGTGACGCTGTGCTCAGCTCCACAAGGACTTAAGAGGCATAAGTGTGTCATCTCAGATGGCCAGTGGGAGGGGTCCACCTTGGTTAGACTGGGGGATACACCAGGTTGGGGTGCGAGAACCTGGTCCCAGCTGGGCAAGTATGGCCCAGCAAAGAAAGAGAAGGAAACAGAGCAGAAGGGTGACTGTGTGGTGCGTGTGACCAAGGTAGGGTTAGCTTGTCACGTAACGGGCACGCTGGGTGTGTCTGGGGAATGAAAGCAGGCAAACAAGAAGGGGGGGTGGGAGGAAAAGAGGAAGGAAGGAAGAGAGGGAGGGGACAGGAAAAGAGGAAGGAAGGAAGAGAGGGAGAGGACAGGAAAATAGGAAGGAATGAAGAGAGGGAGGGGACAGGAAAAGAGGAAGGAAGGAAGAGAGGGAGAGGACAGGAAAAGAGGAAGGAAGGAAGAGAGGGAGGGGGACAGGAAAAGAGGAAGGAAGGAAGGGAAAAGAAAAAAACAGAAATTCAGATAGAAATGTATCCTTCTTTGTTTACGAAGTATTTCAGCATTCATTATTTATTTTACATGTTTTCCCCAACAACTCATGGGGAAGGTAAAACCAGGTGTCCTTAAAAAACAGTCAGGTACCTGAAATTTACAGGGACCACCTGCCTTGCCCCAGGTTAGATGGTCCGTAGCAGATACAGCCAAGCGGTCTGAATCCAATTCCATAGTCTCTTCCTGACATCTTGGCCCAAACTCCAAGATGTGCCTCCTGCTCCGGGAATAAGCTCGTTGGCCTGTACGTCGGGGATGAATAAGCACGCAGGACCCACATGCGGTGGGCGGGACAGCTCATGTCTTGGGTGCTGAATCCTCAGTCTGGTGACATTAGCTTTCTCTTGCATGATGAGCGGGGGCTCAAAAGACAGAACATTACAGAGATTTTGGGATCGCTTTCCCTTCACTATGAGAAAAGCACACACCCTGGTCTCCCCCTGTGTGTGGGGTGGGGGTAGGAGTGTCAGGTCTGGGGCAGTCACACTGCTGCTCTGGGGAAGGAGCCCTCTGCCAGGTGTGTGAACCCAGGCTACAAGGAGTCCTGGAGGGCTTGCCACGCTATCCTTTGGGCACTCTTGTGTCCCCAGGGGCCAGGAGGTGGAGAACATTGGGCTGAGTCACCATGCAATGACAGCGTGATAGAATAGATCTCCTTACACATCCTTTATCATTAGCTATCTAAAGCTTAGAAATACAGAACGGCCCATTGCATACACAATACTTCACTGTTAGTTGAGTGTTTTAGAATGAATCATGTGACCTCATCCTCATTTTTTTTTAACATAGACTAAAATTGTAATCTATATTCAAGAGAGGGGGAAATAGAATTTATTTTTCTGTTACCCTAAGATTAAGTTTTTGAAAGTGTTCCTTTCACAGACCTGAGCATTGTTCACGGAGCCTACTTTTTCTCCACTTTAGGGAGGGCTGTGCCTCTGGCCACGTGGTTACCTTGCAGTGCACAGGTAAGAGTTCTAGAAAGGCAGGGCTCCAGGGGAAGCAAGCACACACCGAGCCCCATCTCCCTGCCCTCAGAGTCCTCTCTCCCCATGCTGCTCTGTGTCCCTTCCTCCCTGGTGCCAGGCGGGAAGCCTGTGTACCCCTACCTGCTGGAGAAGGGGAGCAGTGTCCTCACCTGCCAGCCTCACCCGTTAGGTGGGGGAGGCAGACGGAGGGACTCATTAGCTGCAGATAGGACCAAGGTCCACGGTGTCCCATCACTCTGTAGAGCCTTGAGTCCCTGACTCAGTCCCACTTCCTCCTTACACCTGCACAGTGCCTACTCCAGGCCCGGGGCAGGGCCCCTCATTCCTGGCAGAGGGGAGTGTCCACACAGCAGGGGTGGGGTCCAGAGCAGTCAGGGAGGTGCGTGCACCCGTGTCAGTGAGAGGGGGCTGCAGAAGGTTCCGGCCTGCTCCTGACATCCCAGGGTATTGTCATCACCAGGGGACAGGAGGGGGGTGGCGCTGCCAATGCCGGGCACTGACCAAGCAAGGCACGTGCTTCTCCCACCACATCCCCCACAGCACCCACCATCCTCAGGTCTCCCCAAGAGCCTGACCACCTCCCCCGCTGAGCCCCCTCCTACAGCACTTGTCGTAGAACTGCTGTGAGCTTTGGGAGTGGGGCAGTGAGGGTGGGAAGACAGGAGCAGGTGCATGGTAGTGACACCATGTCCCCCAGAGATGTCTGCAGGGTGGACCCACCAGCCCTGTTTCCCTCCTAGCCTGCGGTCGTAGAAGGGGCTACAGTGCACGCATCGTGGGTGGAAACATGTCCTCGCTCTCACAGTGGCCCTGGCAGGCCAGCCTTCAGTTCCAGGGCTACCACCTGTGCGGGGGCTCTGTCATCACGCCCCTGTGGATTGTCACCGCTGCACACTGTGTTTACGAGTGAGTGCTGCTGACCATCTTCCCAGACCCCTGTTCATGCCCTGGTCATGTCGGGTGAGGCGAGCTGCTTTGGGTGGAGGGCAGGGGCTCCAGAGGGAAGGCAGAGAGTCCAACCCCCAAGTAACGTCCAGCTGGAGAGGTGCCTCCAGCCTCACGGTGGCCCCATCGCTATCGGTGACTGGTGACCCTGAGCTTGTTTTGAGGATTGTAGCTTCTACAGAAAGGGCAGACAGAGGAGGGAGGAAGCTCTTGTGCTGGAGGAAAACTACAAAAATTAAAGGACCTAGACCTTCTGATAGCTGATTCTGGAGGACCATGTTATGGCAGAGATAGGGTGAGATGCTGGCGAGGTAGGCTAGAGGGTACATGTTGGGGGCCGGGCTCCGGGTCTTTTTTCTTAAAATCTCAGGATCTTAGAGTGCAGGAAAGCTAAAGAAAAGCCTTCCAAACACAATGGTTCTCAGGTAATTTTTACCCCCTATTTTGTTGCTGTTTGATGAAGAATGGGCCCAATAGACTCCTTGCAGTGAGCCAAGTTGAGCTCTGCCCTCAAATGCCAAGAAGACTTCGGAGGTGCTGAGAGTGAGGCCTGTCTGGGAAGCACAGGGGCTGTGGGTCTGTGTTTCTGCAGGGCATGGCACTGCAGTTGCATGTACAGCACAAACAAGAACCTGTACTTGTTTATGCTGTAAACATAGGATGGGACCACCTCTTGCCTGATAACCTCTGTCACCATCTTCCTAGGTTTTCAGGACACCTGAGGTCGATGAGTTCAGTGGTTGGGTTTTTCCTGCACTTCACCTCGTGCTCTTCTCATTTCAGCCTGTACCTCCCCAAGTCATGGACCATCCAGGTGGGTCTAGTTGTCCTGCTGGACAGTCCCGCCCCGTCCCACTTGGTGGAGAAGATTGTCTACCACAGCAAGTACAAGCCAAAGAGGCTGGGCCATGACATCGCCCTCATGAAGCTGGCTGGGCCGCTCACGTTCAACGGTACGTCTGGGTCTCTGTGTGGGGCTGCTGTGCTTCATTTGTTTCAGGAGGATTTGCAATTGCTTGTTTAAGCATTCTTACGATGGCTGCTTTACGATCCGTGTCAGACATTAGTTAATTATTCCAACTCCTGATTCATGTTGGTGTCGGCATCGGTTAACTATCTTTTCTCATGAAAGTTGTGATGTTTCTAGTTCTTGGCATGTTAATTGATTTTCAATTGTATCCTGGCTCTCCTGTTTGCAGACTTGTTGACTCTACCAACATTTTCAACGTTACCCTGTTTCAGTGTGGTTTGTAGATCCTGGGATACAGAACGATAGATTGGTGGGCTGTAGTTCCAATGATAACTATTTTAGTGCCTTCGTGGGCTGTGTGATTTGTCTGGTGACACCTTCTTCCTGTTGGAGCCACCTGGAGGCAGGAAGAGCTTCTCAAGGCCAGGCCACCTGGGGCCTCTAGGTGGCGGAAGAGAGTCACCCAGCTGTCATGACAAAGAGCACTTCTCTGTCCAGGTGCCCATTGTGGAGGGGTCACCTCAGCCAGTGCCACCCACCTGCCAGGGGCCCTCTCAGCTGAGGGGCAGACCTCCCAGGCTGGTCAGCTGGTGTGGCGGTGTCCTTTCATCTCTCTACAGGCTGAAAGACACTGGGCACCCTCAGCCCCCGGAAGTACAGGAAAGTTCTCTCCCAACCAGCAGCTCCTAAAGACCCTGTTTCTTGAAAAAGTCAGGCCCTGCCCTCTGGACATTACAAAAATGCCAGAAAAGCCACACCTGACAAAACTTTCAAACATCGGTAGACACAAACAAAGAACTGGAAGCCTATTCCCAAATAAATCAAAGCCCTTTTCCTTCCCAAGAAAGCAGGGGTAGCATAATAAATGGGTGAATTCCCTCTCACTGGAGCAGAATCCCGGTCCGAGAGCAGCCACAGGCTCTACCTGGCAGAGTCAATACTGCATCCATCACATGGACACGTAATTCCTGGAAACAAACATTTCCAGAGTAGGAGAAAGGCTGTGGCCAGGCCAGTTTGCCAACTATTATTAACGATATTTGGTTACAGAAAATGAGGTGCCAGCACTTGTGCTTTGACAGAAATTAAAGTGAGTTCTTGTGTTCCTTCTCTACCTCTTTATTACCGTTCTGCACAGAAAAGGTGAGGGAACCTCAGGGTGTGTTCGCACGAAAGCCTGGGATCCATGCAGGGCGCTCTGGCTTTGGGCGAGGCCAGCAGGACCCAGCCCTACACACAGGCAAACCCGCCACCTCCAGACGTCTCAGGGACCATAGGAATATTCGTGGAGCCATGTTCTACAAGCAGTGCACACACTGTGATCTAGACCAGGAGTGGGCCCGTGTGGCCTGAGGGTCAGGTTTTGGCAAATAGACGTTTCACTGGATGCAGCCACGCCTATGTGGGTGCGTGGGGCTGTGTTCATGTTCCAGTGGTGGCTGTAGAGACCGCACGGCTCCCAAAGCCTAAAGCGTTGAGTATTCAGCCCTTTCCAGAAGAAATGTGCTGATCCTGATCTAGACCCCCTTCCACTGCCACGGGGAGGGCTGGTTCCCAGTTTTAAGTGCTCTGGGTGTGGTGGATGGGGTGAGGGGCTCCTGCTGTGAGCTGATCGCTTTCTAGTAATCAAGGGCTTGACCTTCCCTTGGGAGATAGTCTGTGCTCCGCAGAGGCATAAGCACTGATGAGATGAATTGCTTTCTCGGACTCTGGCCTCAATGGCGTTAAGAACTATTGTTTCCTTTTAAACAGAGATGATCCAGCCTGTGTGCCTGCCCAACTCTGAAGAGAACTTCCCCGATGGAAAAGTGTGCTGGACATCAGGATGGGGGGCCACAGAGGATGGAGGTCAGTGGGCTGGAGCCAAGATTCTGAGCCCAGGAGCCCAGGACCCAGTGGGCTGCGGAGAGGGCTCCTCCAGCATCCCAGTGTGATGTTCCCATGGGCCTCCCAGATACCCTAGCCAGGGAGTGTGTGTCAGCTGCTCAGAAAACACAGTCAGCCAGGGAGCTGTGGGTCAGGAGGCACAGTTCCATGGTTATGGGGACAATGTCACACCTCAGACCTTCTCAGGAGAGAGCTAGACCTTCTTAAACACAGCAGGTGTTTCTCTTCCCCTGTCCGGACCCCTGGCTTTCACGGGGAACATACAGAGTCCACCTAGGCAACCCTCCCAGGCTTCATTCAGAACTCAAAGATTCGTGTTTGTGAAGACCAGTTGCCTTGTGGGACTTTGGAAGATGTGTTCTTTCATCCTGCAAGGAGCAAGTGGAAGAAGCAGCAGATGGGATTGCTGTGACAACAAGGGCAGCAGGGGTGGCAGTAGCCACAGACCGTGCAGAGGAAGCCTGGGACGCCCTATCCTAAGTGTGGGCACAGAGCTGGTCACAAGGCTAAGGTTTTCCAGCCAGCGCTTTCTTTGTTAGTAGGAAGAAGATTCATTTCCTGTGGCTGCTGTAACAAATTATCACAGTCTGGGTGGCTTAAAATTATGGAAATTGGCCAGGTGAAGTGGCTCACATCTGTTGTCCCAGCATTTTGGGAGGCCGAGTCCATGGTATCCCTTGAGGCCATTAGTTTGAGACCAGCCTGGGCAACATAGAGAGACACTGTCTCCATAAAAAAATGCAAAAATTAGCCAGGCATGGTGGCATGCACCTGTAATCCCAGCACTTTGGGAGGCCAAGGAGGAGGATTGCTTGAGCCCAGGAGTTTGAGACCAGCCTGGCCAACATGGTGAAACCCTGTCTCCACTAAAAATACAAAATTTAATCAGGCACGGTGGCGCACACCTGTAATCCCAGCTACTCAGGAGACTGAGGCTAGAGAATCACTTGAACCCAGGAGGCAGAGTTTCCAGTGAGCCGAGATCATGGCACTCCACTCCAGCCTTGGTGACGGAGTGAGATTCCATCTCAAAACAAACAAACAAACAAACATTAGCCTGGCATGGTGGTCCTAGCTACTCAGGAGGCTGGGGTGGGAGGATTGCTTGAGCCCAGGAATTCTAAGCTGCAGTGAGCCGTGATCATGACTCCATACTCCATCCTGGTGACAGAGTGAGACTTTGCCTTTAAAAAACAAAATCCATGGAGATTTATTGAGATTTATTGTCACACCCAATCGAGGTGCCTGCAGGGTGGCCTTCCTGGAGGTTCCAATGCCTTTCCTTTGGGTTCTGGTGGCTGAAGCTGCCCTGGTGTTATGGGGCTTGTAGATGGATCTCCAGTCCCAGTTTCCATCCTCTGTGGCTTTGTCCCTCTGTCTCTGTATCTCAAATTTCCCTCTCCCGTGTCTTATAAGGACATCAGTCGTTGGATTTAGGGTCCGCCCTAAACTCAGAGAGATCTCATCTTGAGATCCTTACCTCAATTACATCTGCAAAGACCCTATTCCAAATAAGTTTGGGCTCCATAGTGGCAGGAAGGCATATTTTGGAGGGGCCCACCGTTCAGCCCAACAGGAAGTTCAGGATTTTCCTCTGTACCCCAATTACTTGAGCCCACCCCCTGCTGAAGGCACCAGGGGCTGACCTGGATGCTTTGGGTCTGCGGGGACTGCGTACTCCCTGCCTGCTGGTGGTGCTGCCCACCTGGTTAAGGGTACTCACAATTCTCTAGTTTCCAACCCACCCACGTGGCCCAGCTCTGTCCCAGCATGGCTGGCAGGGCCCTTCATCAGGACCAGTACCCCTCGTGTGAGGTGGGAGCTGGGAGACCAGGCCACGGTCCCCTTCCCTCCTTATCCAGGACCTCTCATTCAGGACCACGCAGCCCGTCACACTGGGCTCTGAAGAGGGGGCTGAGCAACAGCTTCATCCTCCCAGGAGATTCTCCATCCCTCTGCAGATTCGCTTCTCGCTGTCAATCTGCTCTGTCCAACACGAAAGGTCCAACCAGCCCCTCTCCTGACACGACAACCCAGCCTGTGTTGGAATCTTCTCCCACCATGCGTTGAGCTGTTTCGCTGCATTCTGGGCACAAAGCTGAGTGTCTTGTGATACCGTGTGCTCCTAGAGCAGCCCCTCAGGGGCCGTCATTGTGACGTTTTGTTGTCTCCATGGAATCTCTGTGGGATGAGCAGGAATGAACAGGTTCTCCCTCAGCCGTGCAGGCAGACCCCGCTGCGAGGACACAGCTGGAGGGGTGGGGCCTCTGTGGACTCACTCACAGCACGTGTGAGGTCCCAGTGCTGAGGAGAGCAGGCCCTCACGCCACCTGCTGAGACCTCTGTGAGGAACGGAGGTCTGCCATATTGAGTCTAGAAAACGTCAAGATGCCCGGGTCACAAAGCAGCTAAGTCGGAGGGGGTCCCTCCCTTTGGTGTCAGGGTGCCCTTTGGTGTTGGGGTGCGTTTCAGTGTTGTGGGTGCACCTGGCCCACTGCAGGTGTATTAAGTCTCCTGTGGCTGTTGCAACAAATGACCCCAAAGTTGTGGCTTAAAATGACACAAAGGTATCATCTCATAGTTAGGAAGGTCACAGGTCCAAACTCAGTCTCAGGGCGGCGGTGTCAAGTGTGGACCGGGCTGGCTCCTCCTGGAGACCTTGGGGAGCCTGTCCCCTGCCTTTTCCGGCTTGTCTTGTGCTGTCCTTGGTCTTCCAGGTCAGCAGCGCCACATCTGTGAATCTCTCTCTGACTCTGGTCCCTGCTCTGTGGTCACAACTCCTCCTCCAGCTCCTCCGAGGACCCCTGTGACTTCCTTGGGTCCACTCCCTACTCCAGATCCTCTCCCTGCTCAAGGCCTATCCCTCACTGCACTTGCAATGTCCCATTTGCCCTGTAAGGTGACACAGTCATAGGTTCTGGGGATTGGGGTGAGAATGTCTTTGGGGGTCATTTGTCTGCTGAGTACCCCGGAGTTCACAAAGACACTGAGTGTGCAACCTTCATGAGCCTCAGTTTCCCTCCCATAACCTGGGGTATTCTGATGGCTGATGGGGCTGGTGCCCTGGGGAGGTGCCTTGGCCACTGTCACCCCCTTCTCCTCCCTTTGGACACTTAAGAAGAGTCAGTGGCCCTGCCTTGAAGCAGAGTAGCCCTTGCAGTTGCACACAGGTGGCAAACTCTGGGCTTGGCGCGCTTAGAGACAGCGGGGTCTGCCCGGCCCACTTGCAGGGCCCTGTTGCATCTCATCAGATGGCGCCCCCCTTGTCCTCGTTCCCTCATCCCCTGGTCCCAGCACACACGAGCCAGGCTTCCTTCTCACACACATTCCCTCACTTGCTTTGAAGCAGGCGACGCCTCCCCTGTCCTCAACCACGCGGCCGTCCCTTTGATTTCCAACAAGATCTGCAACCGCAGGGACGTGTATGGCGGCATCATCTCCCCCTCCATGCTCTGTGCGGGCTACCTGAAGGGCGGCGTGGACAGCTGCCAGGTACGGGGCCATGGCGGTGGGTGAGGCCATGGCAGGGTGACCCAGCCCTTGGGACAGGCCGTTGCTAGCGTTTCCCTGTGACCGAGCAAAAAGTAAATTTACAGGGTGTGGAGAAGAAATTTGCTCAAGATATCACTCCTTTTCCTGGCCACCAGGCCTGTGTTTACCCAGTGATCTGGCTCTGTGTGGGTGCTGGGTGGTGGGAGGGGTCTCCAATTCTGACTTTGTCGGGGACCGCAGAGGAGGAAGGTGGCAGGGAACTGGTGAATCTGGCCCTCCGAAAGCTACAGTGGGTGGGACTTCTATTCTACCAGGTGGATCACAGGTCAGCTAAAGGCCCTGGCCAGGTGGACCCTCCCTCTCCAGCTGCCCTTGGCCTTAACAGGGTCAGTGTCTGCATTCTGGAAGGGACACACAGCTGGAGGCAGCACCCCAAAGGGGCTGAGGGACCCCTCTCTGGGGGATGCCATGCCTGGAAGGGCCGGTGTGTCCCTTCTGTAACCTGGGTCGTCCATTGTGAAATCATGAGGGTCCCACTCCCACAGCAAGCAGCCTGCAGGGCAGTGCCTGTCCCCTGACCTTTGCTTCTTTTCTGTCACCCAGGGGGACAGTGGGGGGCCCCTGGTATGTCAAGAGAGGAGGCTGTGGAAGTTGGTGGGAGCAACCAGCTTTGGCATTGGCTGTGCCGAGGTGAACAAGCCTGGGGTCTACACCCGCATCACCTCCTTCCTGGACTGGATCCATGAGCAGATGGAGGTGGGTGCAGCGCCCTTCCCAGCTCACCTCATTCCTGGCATTTGACCTCTAGGGTCCATTAAATGCAACCTGGTCTTGCTATAAAGAACCAGGGAATGTCCGAGTGGTTGTCAATTCCGAAGCAGTGATTTGGTGGCTCCAGGGTGTCAGACTCATGGGCTGAGAACAGAGATCACAGCTAGTCTTGGGCAGCTCTGGCAGGTGCAGCCTGGCACACAGAGGAGCTGGGGCCGGGAGGAAGGAACCTCACCACACGGAAAGGAAAAGAGGAGGCGGCAAGAAGGAGCCCCTGCTGGGATGGGGATGGGCCAGTGTGTCCTTGTGTGCCAGAGCAGGGAGAGAGTGGGAGGGGGCAGGGGTGGGGGCTGAGTCAGTGCCAGAGAGGACCCTTCCTGCCCACTGAGGAGCTGGAACCTCACTGGGAGCCAGGGATGAGAGGCAGCGTGTCCTGTCAGGAGGGGCTTTGTGAGTTCTGCATTGGTGGTGGTGTGGTGGTGGGGGGTCTTGAGGGGGAGGGGTGGAAGGAAGTAGGAGTGACCTGCAGGGCGGCACTGGGCAGCAAGGCTGACTTGGCAGGACCCGGGCAGGGAGGGGAACCCTGAGACGGTGGAAGAGCAAGAAAGAGCCTCAGGGCCTCGCTGGGAACCTGGCGGCTGCCTGCTGGAGGTGGGCACAGTGCCTTCCTCATGTGGCTGCTAGGCAGACATCTGCTAGCTTCATCTCAGATGAAGTCTCACCCAGTCCTTGGATGGTTTGAAACACAGGAGGCTCTCACGGAATGTGGCCAGTGGGATCCTGGGACCTGCGGCTTTGGGAGAAGCGCGCGCACAGGCCCTCCAGCAGCGTCCTTGCTGGCAATGCAATTTTGTTATAAAGTTGATGGGGAAAAAATTTGGTTTCATTATATATCATTTTGCTTAAAGTTGTAGTTTCCAAGAACTATCAATGATGTCAAAGTGAGTACGTTTTTTTTCCCTAATTGAGGTGAAACTTATCTAACCTAAGTGAACAGCCCTGTGGCATTCAGCCCATTCCCAGGCCAGTGCGGCTGCCGTCTCTGCTGGTTCCCAGCATTCTCATCTCCCCAGACACATGGGGTGGGCCCCTCGAAGCAGGCGGTCACCCCCAACTCCACTCTTCTCCGCAGCCTCCGGCACCCACCAGTCAGCTTTCTGTCTCTAAGGCTCAAAGACCTTTTAAAAAAGCGGCTTTAATTGGAGACAGTTGACCAAGAGAGGACATCAAATGCTGAATGTGCCTCAGCCGCCGATTCCTATTTTGCTGTCATAGATTTTGTGCTTTAAATGAGAAACTACGAACTGGTGCCCACAGCACACGGTGAGGCCTGGGACTGAGGCGTGGCCTAGTTTCACCTCCAGCACTGATGCCCTGCAGCCCCAAGCCGACCCCCAACCCTTGAGATGTGGTGCTCGGCTGGGTGGAAACTGCCTGCTCTGCTCCCCTTGCTGGGAGAGGCAGCTTGGCCCCGTACTGGGCACGGAGTGGCCTGCAATGCCCTTTAGTAGAAAGCTCAGCTCAGCTTGCCCACATGTAGAAAGGACCAGGATGGACAGCTGAATGGAGACCTCCTCACTGTTCAGGGTGCTGTGGGAGCCTGGGGTGCACATGGGCCTGTGGGCACAGAGTGCCGAGGGCAGGAAAGGAGAAGCCAGTCCTCTGCACTGGGTCTGCAGTGCATGGAGGTGCTCATGGGGCTGAGCACCGAGCTGGTGACCCTAAAAGTCCCCCTTAAGACACTGAAGGTGCAAGGCAGCAAAGCCCCCTCCCATGTCTTCAGCTGTCCTGGGTGAGCTGGAGACAAAGGTTTAAAATCAGTCTGGGGAGCCAGCTCACAACAGTGCCAAAGAAGGGCTGCCTCAGCTCTCCCCTGTCAGCCCTGCCCTGGGCAGCAGAGCCTGGGACCCTCCCTACACTACAGGGGAGGTGACCTGCATGAGGCCCCCCGCTAACAAGGGCAGAGCGAGAGTCACATCAGACCCCCACGTGGCCCCAGAGTGACTACACTGCAGAATCAACAGATCTCAAACTTAGGGGTGCATAGGCCCCTTTGTTAACTGTGAAGATTGCAGGTTGTTTCTCAGGAGTCTGATTGGGAGGTCTGGAGTGAAGATCCTGATGATTTTGTTGCACGGGGGCTTCAGGGCACTCTGAGAAACCCTGGGAGTGGGTTGGAGGTAGATTCCCCTGTTGCGGCGAAGCTGGGGTGCAGGAGTTTGACTGTGATGCTGGCTGGCTCCCGCCGTGCCTGGAGCCCCTGCTCCCTGCAGAACACCTGCTGCCTCCACACGCCAGCACCTGCGTGAGATGCCGCGGCCTCAGACGTGCCCTTTCCCAAGTCTCTTTTCAGACTTCCTAAGGCAGACCCAGAAGACGCTTCCTTTCTCGGGAGGGTTTCCAGCGGGCCTGCTGTGCATTTCAGTTGTTCCATTGTGAGGAATGTCAATGCGGGGACCTTCCAAGAGCTCACTGTCTTGTGGGGAAGTGTCCCGTCTGCTAGTTGGTGGCATGCCCACTGCCTCATCTTCATGTTTTTTTCTTTTCCCTCCCTGCCTCCCTCCCTCCCTCCCTGCCTCCCTCCCTCCCTTCCTCCCTTCCTTCCTTCCTTCCCTCCTTTTGAGACACAGTCTTGCTCTGTTGCCAGGCTGGAGTGCAATGGCAATATCTCAGCTAACTGCAACCTCCACCTCCCGGGTTCAGGCGATCCTCCTGCCTCAGTCTCCTGAGCAGCTGGAGCTACAGGTGCACACCACCACACCTAGCTAACTGTTGTATTTTTAGTAGAGACAGAATTTCACCATGCTGGCCAGGATGGTCTTAATCTCTTGACCTCGTGATCCACCTGCCTCAGCTTCCCAAAGTGCTGGGATTGCAGGCATGAGCCACTGCGCCCAGCCTCATCTTCATTTTCATCCAGCACTTTCCTCTATCTAGTTGGGGCTTAAAACGAAATTGTTCTGACTCAAACCAGAACTTAGGAACACAACGCCAAGGTTTGGAAGGTTCCTGTGGAAGTGATGGGCTGTTGCAGGCAGAAATGTATTGCTGGTGTATTGCTGGTCAGACCTTTTCATCCCTGCCCAGGATCTGCTCAGAATGGCAGCCCCAGGAGGCGGCCAACCTTGTCTTCACCATGGAGAACAGCCCCACCATCCCTGTAGGGCAGAATGCAGGTGCCTGCTCCGTCACAATGTTGGACAGATGGCCAGACGTGCTAAAAACAGTAACATCTTTGTTTTCATTTTTAGAGGGACCTAAAAACCTGAAGAGGGACCCAAGTAGCCACCTGAGTTCCTACGGTGATGAAGACAGCCTGGTCCTCCCCTGGATCCCATGTGGAAACTTGCACATGAGCAAATGCCCTCGGAGCTCTGCATTCCAGCACCAGCAGCCGACCTGAAACAGGCACCCTTCGTCTGATTCCAGCACAACCCTCCAGCTCCTTCCTTTTTGTTTTTCTGAATTGGAGCCTCGATCTGTCACCCAGGCTGGAGTGCAGTGGTGCAATCTCTGCTCACTGCTGCCTCTGCCTCCGGGTTCAAGCGATTCTTCTGCCTTAGCTTCCCAAGTAGATGCGATCACAGGCGTGTGCCAACATGCCCAGCTAATTTTTGTATTTTTAGTAGAGACAGGGTTTCACCATGTTGTCCAGGCTGGTCTCGAACTCCTGACCTCAAATGATCTGGCTCCCTCGCCTCTCACAGTGCTGGCTTACAGGTGTGAGCCGCTGCGCCTAGCCTCGAGGTCCTTTCTGATCTTCGCTGAGAACAAAAGCAGCAGCAGCTCACACGTGTGGCCTTCCCCACCGTCCATTTGGTTTTCTCTCTAGGGCTCCTGAAAAATTCCTGACGAGATAAGCAGTTAAGTGACTTCACGTGCAAAGTCTCCAACAGCCACTCAGTAAAGATGCGCCCACCAGAACCGCCGCAGCATGGTCACTGCAGGTGGAGCTGCCTGCGTGTTTTTACCCCTAGGACCAGAACCAAACCCACCCTTTCTACTTCCAAGACTCATTTTCACACGTGGGGAACTTAATCTGGGAATGACTCATTTAAGGCATATTTTCATCACTTCTTTGTAGCATTTGGTGCTTGATGTGTTATTGCCCCTTGATTCCAAAGAACATCTGTTTTCTTTCCTCACTGTCTGGCGTGTCTGAGTGGATGCGACTGGTCATGTGGATGGAAATCATACACTGAATTCCAGGGGCTCCATTACTGTCATCTGTCCTGTGCGCATTGTGGACGTGGCATTCTTCTGCTGGAATGAGTGCTCAGCAGGTTAGCATCAGCTCATATCATACACAGCACTCAGAAGCAGAGCAAGACTAGGCATAGTAGTGGGAGTGAGCGGGGGTGGGGGGTCAGAGGGAGTGAGCGGTGGCTGGAGGCTGTGAGACCTGGCCGGAGGGTGTGAGCAGGGGCCGGAGGGTGTGAGCGATGGCCGGAGGGTCACAGGAGTTGCTGAGATCTGCGGTTCCCTTCACATGTGCTGTGGCCACTTCCCAATCACTGTCTTCACCAGGAGCCTGGGATATATGTGCTCTATCCTCGTGGATTTACGTGGATGCTTAGAAAAATGTGTATTCTGTTACTGTTGGGTGGAATGTCCTATAAATATCGATGAAATGCTATTGGTTAATCAGTTCAGATCTTCTAGATCCTTGCTGATTTTATGTCTAGTAGTTCTGTCCGTGTCCCTTGCTGTGAAGGAGTCTCGAAGCCTCTCACTAACTGTGGACGTATCTCCTCCTCCTTTCTGCTCTATCCATTTTCTTCTGTGTAATTTGGAGCTTTGCTGTTTGCTGAGCACTAATTCTTCTGAAAATTTTAAATGGAAAATAGTTTTTAGAGCCATGTAATTGTCATAACGCATTTGAGAATGCGTACACCCCGTTTCTCCAGCCACATCCAGCTTCTTCATCACGCCATTCTCAGTGCAGGCCAAGGCAGGAAAGATCAGGCCCATGGAGGTCCAGGCCTCAGAAACGAACTTGCTGCTTTCATTGGTCTTGGGAAATGTTTTTGCACAGTCTCCTATGTGGAAAACTGAAAAAAGATGAAGGGTAGACTTGCAAAGGAGCTTTCTAAACGTTCCATCCCTTAATAAAGCCAAAATTTAAAAATAGAACATAACGGACAGATGAGTGGGCTTCAAACATTCTCTGCCACGTGCACTAAAGATGAGTGTCTCATGGGGAGCCTGGCTGCCTTCAGCTCTCAGCTTGAGAGAACACAGCCACCCCTTCCTCTCCCGCTGAAGAAAGTATGTGAGGATACAAACGAGGGACAGCAGTCTGAGAGAGACATTCTTAGATCTCCTCCAACGTGTTTAAAAATGAAGTCATGCATCTAACATGCCAGGCGACACCCTGGAGCACTGCTGAGCAGCACTGACCGTGGCCACGCTTTCCAAGGACAGCCGCCTGTGTGCCTTTGGGAGATGCCTCAGTGGTTCTCGAGTGGTGAGGAGGGCCCAAGAGGGAGGCAGTGCCACCCGAGAGCATGGGGAGTGAACCCGGGGTGGAACAGGAAGTCTGGGGGTCCAGGCCTTGCACCCAGAGTGATCAGGCAAATCAGGCATTCTCCTTAAGACCCCTTTTCTAGAGTCCCCCTTCGTAACCTGTCTTAGCCAAATCTTAGGATTGTTAGGAGGACGAAGGGGGATTGTTGCTGGGAGAGACCATTTTGGCTGTCTGCTTTTGCACAAACTTCTAGCAGCAAGTCGAATGACAAAAGTGGTGGCCGGGCGCGGTGGCTCACGCCTGTAATCCCAGCACTTTGGGAGTCCGCGGTGGGCAGATCACAAGGTAAAGAGATGAAGACCATTCTGGCCAACATGGTGAAACCTCGTCTCTACTAAAATATACGAAAATTAGCCGAGCGTGGGGGTGCGCACCTGTTGTCTCAGCTATTTGGGAGACTGAGGCAGGAGAATCGCTTGAACCTGGGAGGCAGAGGTTACAGTGAGCTGAGGTCTCGCCACTGCACTCCAGCCTGGTGGCAGAGTGATATTCCATCTCAAAAAAAAAAAAAGTGATATAAACGCCTTCAGGGTGTTCTGCGGGTGTGAAGTGCGCACAGACGTGAAAGTCTGACGGCCCCCTCAGACAGGCAGCCGAGGTCATGCCTGTTGTCAGGGCCCTGTCCTCCAAACACACAGCACAGCAGGGGTGGGGGCAAAACCCCGCAAATGCCGTGGCAAGGGTCTGAAGCCTCAGCCTGTTCCCATATAAATATTGAGTTAGAAAAGAATTAGAAATATAGGCACAGTTATTCCTTTACATGATCATATATAATCTCAGGGTTACTCACTTATAATCATAAAGATATATACTCAATATAGCCTTTAATTTTACTAATGGCCATCAGGTTATGAAGCATGGAACTGAGGTGACCTTGTGAACAAAGTGATGCTAAGGCGAGATGCTCTAAGCCCTCTGTGACACCCACATGAGGGCTGCTGGAGGGCGCCTCGGCTGTGTGGCAGTGCCAGTGCTGGGAAAGCGCCCACTGTTTAGCCAGCTAGGGAAGGAGACGTCCAAAATGGCAGAGACATCTTTCTGGGGGAAGTCTGGAGAAAACTCCGCTTCTCCAAGCTCTTGCGGTAGGTCTGACAGCTGTCAGGGAGGCCCACAGACATCCGGGGTTACCTGTCTCTACGTGACGCTGGGCCTCAGTGGTCACGTTCCGTGTCCACTTTCATGCTCCGCTTCTGCACCTGGTTTCTCTTTTTCTCAGAAGATAAGAATTAATAATTGTAACATAATGTCCTTGACATTTCTGACAAATATGCAAAGAGTGCTGACACATTAGGTTTTCTCCTCGTCTCAGCTACTTGAAAGTCCTGGGCCCCTGTCTCCAAGACACGTGATTTACTTGACCCTGTCACTGACCACCATTACCTCCCCCGAACTTCCCTGCCCCCTGCTTTGTACTCAATGAAAGTCAGAGCATCCAGGCACTCGGGCCACTGCAGGTCTCCACGCTTTGCTTGGCAGGGGACCCCGAGCCCAAACTCTCTTTTCTCTATCTCTGTGTCTGCGTCTTTTATTTCTACAGTTTCTCATCTCTGCATGAGTAGGAGGAGGCTCACAGAACCCTATAGGGCTGGACCCTACAGCAGGGACACAGAGACTCAGATAAAGGCACAACTGATGAGACAGGACGCACCCAGGCGGCACAATACCACATGCATCCCCCAACGATGGATGATGGACGTGGTCGGGCTGTCCTGGCCTTCAGAGCCCTGTGCTCTGTACCTATATTTAGAGGAAGTAATTTACAATGGAAGATATGGTTACAAGGTATAAAAATAGAAATAAAGTATCTTAGAATAGAATAGAGTGTCTTTAGAGATTATCAAATCCTGGGCCTTTGTCCAGCAAACGATCTTCCTCTTGGTCGATCTTGATGGCTCGCTAAACCAGTGGAGACTCTGGCCTCCTCTTCACCATGTGTTTATCTCTGGGACTCATAGAGTATCACGGTGAGACCAGCCTTGGAGCAGTACCAGGGATCAGTCACCACCATCCTTGGGATGTTCTCCTTACAGATAATTTGTAGTTCTTGACCTTTCCTCAGTAGAAGCAGGAACTGTTCGTCATCAGTCCCACATAACATCCTCACATCTGAAATAAAAACTTCACCGCACATTTATGCCTTGGGTAGACGTGAGTTGACTACCACCAGGGGCTATATCCACAGGGTTCAGGCCAGGGTGGTGGCAGGAGGGAATACGTGTGTCATGGGAGGAGGGGTCTGTGGGCTGCACCAGCCAGTGCATGGCCAGGACAGGGGCAGTGTCCAAGGAGGCGAAGCTCCAGCAGTGCCCACAGGCGGGAGGGAGGAAGGGACATGGTGTCGAGAACAGGGCTGGCCTAGTCCACTCGCTGCAGGGACTCGGTGCCAATGAATGGGAATCTGCAGTGTCCATGCTACCCCAGGCTGAAACCTTGGTGAGGAGTCAGCAGCTTAATTCCAAAGTCACCCGCTGGAAGGAGCAGGACTGCGTTCTAGCCTGGTTGGAGCTGTGCCTGAGTATTGGTAGTTTAACTGCAGCTTGGCAGATCCGAGGGTGGTTGGAAAGGCGGGTGTGGAATTGTGTGGAATTGAGACCTGTGTAGAATCCTAAACACAGGAAAGTCACTTTGTGTGAAGATGTCCGTCAAAAGAAACCTTCCTTAACAGTGAAAAATTGTAAGCAACCTAAATTACCAATAATAGAATTACTATTCTTTTCTTCAACTTTTAAGTTTTGGGTACATGGGCAGGATGTGCAGGTTGTCACATAAGTCAGCATGTGTCACAGTGGTTTGCTGCCTAGATCAACCCATCACCCAGGTATTAAGCCCAACTTCCATTAGCTTTTCTTCCTGATGCTCTCCCTCAGCGCACCCCATTCCCCCTCCACAGACTCCAGTGTGTGCTGTTCCCCACGATGTGTCAATGTGTTCTCATCATTCAGCTCCCACTTATAAGTGAGAACATTTCGTGTTGGTTTTTCTGTTCCTGCATTAGTTTGCTGAGGATAATGGCTTCTAGCTCCATCCATGTCCCTGCAAAGGATATGATCTCATTCCTTTTAATGGCTGCATATGGTGTAGATGTATGATATTTTCTTTATCCAGTCTATCACTGATGGGCATTTGAGTTGATTCCATGTCCTTGCTATTGTGAACAGTGCTGCAATGAACATACACATGTATGTACTTTATAATAGAATGATTTACATTTGAATATATGCCGAGTAATGGGATTGCTGTGTCAAATGATATTTCTGCTTCTAGATCTTTGAGGAATCGCCATACTATCTTCCACAATGGTTGAACTAATTTACATTCCCATCAACAGTGTAAAACATTCCTTTTTCTCTGCAATCTCTCCAGCATCTGTTGTTTCTTGACTTTTTAATAATTGCCATTCTGATTGGCATGAGATGATATCTCATTGTGGTTTTGATTTGCATTTCTCTAATAATCAGTGATGTTGAGCTTTCTCCATGTTTGTCGGGCACATGAATGTCTTCTTTTGAGAAGTGTCTGTGCATGTCCTTTGCTCACGTTTTAATGGGGTTGTTTTTTTCTCATAAATTTGCTTATGTTCCCTTAAACTGCATATCAGACCTTTGTCAGATGGATAGT